TTGTTGTTGTTGTCGTGGTTACCCGGCCGTTCCTCCGCTGGTCCATCGCTCCTCCTCGATAACTCCGGGATGCTCTTCAGAGACGTGACCGAATACTTCAGGAGGAAGAACAGACAGAACAAAACAAACATTTAGAATAACGGTGGAGCGTCTGTGATTTACATCCAGTAGAACCAGTTTATCTTCACAGTCCAGCCTCCATAAATGAGTCTTTACTGACAGCAGGTCATGAAAACTTCTCACTAACGTCCTGACAGTAAAACATGTGCTACTGACCACCGAGTCGTCGGAGAAGTCGATCTCGTCCAGGTCCAGGTACTCAGGAGCCTCCATGTTCACACCTCATCATCAGACGCACAACCAGCTACACACACAAACACACAAACAGAAACAGAAACAGGTTGACAACGTGCAGCAACATCTGACCGGATCCACGTCTGACTCCTGAAACCAGCGTCTGGTTCAGAGCTCGGCCGGAGTTTTGTTTCTCCGTCTGTTTGTGTTCTGACTCGGTTTGTCAGCAGAAACACTTAAAGTGAATCAGAACCAGACCAACACCTGTTCAGGGATTAAAGGAGCCTAAACCGGCTTCTCAGTGGTTCTGCTGCTCATCAGGAAACTGGAAGCAGCAGCAGCAGCTCACGTCTACGTTCAGGCCGACTCTCCCTCTCAGCAGCTCATTAGCATTAACATTTATTATTATTATTATTTTATGTGGACAATAGCTACAGTTTTACAGTACAGTTTTATTTATTTTTTTTTTTTTAACTCCATTTTTAACAATTGTCTTTTTCTCCATGACTTTACAGGATATTATTTGTAATTTCACAAAAGAGAGAAAATCTGTCAAATAAAAGATTTTTATTTTCTAAAATGAGCTTTTTTTTTTTTTTATCACATAACATCAAATAAAATAATCAGAATTTAACTGATTTAAACAAAAAGTGGTTTAATTTCACAGACAAACGTAAAGAAACTAAGTTTTTTTTTGTAGAAATAACATAATTTACTCTTTTTGTCCTGTTTGTTTTTTTTTATGGTTAAAATGTAAATTAATATTTAAAATATTCTTGTAAAAGAAAGAATAATTGTTTTTCAACATGTTTGATGTGGACTTTATTCACAGTTTGGCCTGTTTTTTTAAAAGTTTTTTTTAATCAGACACAATTTTTAATTTCACAAAAGAGAGAAAATCTGTAAATTAACAGTAATTAGTTTTATTTTATTTTATTTATTATAAACTGTTAAAAATCCTCCATTTTCAGAATAAAACAATAAAAACTTTCTGCTCAGTTCATGGTTTCGGTACTTTTTCTGGCTAAGAGTCCAACAGAACCTGTGAAGTTCTGCAGGATACAGAAACAACAGGAACCCGAGGCCCGTCTGTCCTGCTTCAACCTCCAGAACCGGCGCTGGTATCAAAACAAACTCCGTCACGACGCCGAGCAGCAAACGCTTCCTGTTGCTGCTCTGAGCTCCGGCTGGAGCTGCAGTCGGACCGGCCGGGTTCTACCTGAACTAGAAACACAGCGACGGATAATATCGCCTCCATCAGAACCTTCTGACCCAAACTAAGCGGTTCTGAAGCATCTAATCTGCTCATATTGTGTTTGATTGAGGAAAAAGAAGAAACTGACTAAAGACTGAAACCGTCTGCTGGAAACAACGTCTGTATTTCTGCTGAGTTTGGTTTCTTTCTAATGAATTACAGTTTAAGCTTCTGGACTCCATAGGAAGAGAAAACATAAATAAAATAAAATAAAATAAAATAAAATAAAATAAAATAAAATAAAATATGGTAGAATTCTGTGATGGTTAAAAACCTTAGATTTCAAAAAATAAATAACAAAAAACACAAAATATAAAATAACAGCAAAAAAAAAATTGTTAAATAATGATCAAATTTATAAGAGAATAAAATATCGCACATTAAAAATGCATAATTCAGTTTGAAAATAAAATACAATAGATGAAGATAAAATAAAATAAAATAAAATAAAATTAAATTAAATTAGGTAGAATTCTGTAATGGTTAAAAACCTTATATTAAAAAAAACCAAAACAAAACAAGATATAAAATAATATCAAAAAATATACATTAAAATTACACATTTTAAACGTGGACGTTATTTACAGTTTTTTTTGTAAATGAATTTTACTAAATATTTGCTGCAATTTCACCAAACGGGGAAAATCGGTGAAATAACAAAAATAAAATAATATTTACTAGATTTCAATCATTAATATTCACAGTTTTTATTTTAAATATCTGTAAATAAACACAATCATCTGATTTAAATTATTTAAAGCAAAATAATAATTAAACATAAAAAAACAGATTTTTAATATTGACATTATTCATTATTATTATTATTTTTATGTTATTTTCAGGGGGGGTTTTTTTAATCTGTAATTTAACAACAGGGGAAATTTGCAGAAAAAAAGTAAAAAATAAAAGCAGTCAGATGTTTTTGGGTTAAACATCCTGATTTTAACCACATCTCACATAACTTGCTGCCTGACAGTCTAAATCCTGATCATCGTTTCTTTCTGTTTCTCCAGTTTCTGACTAATAAACGGATAAATGTTGGTGGTTCTTCTAGAACCTAGACCTCCCCTTCAGGCCCGTGGGCAGGTTCTGGGCCTCGGAGGGTTAATCGGCAGCACAGCGAGCGTTCAGGAACATTCCTGGATTAGAAATCAGAGCGGCGGCGGCTCAGAGAGGATCACAGCAGCCTCCAAACACGGAGTGCAGCGCTGCGTCATCAGGTGGTTCACCTACAATCACATCCAGATGTGCTCCGCTCGCTCTGGTTCTGGACCAAATCCCTCAGAACCGGCTTCACGCTCAGCAGCCGACAGGAAAGTCTGGATTTGTGTGGAGATCAGCGGCGTTCAGAGGCGATGAAAACGCCTCAAAGTCCTGCAGCTGGTGGTGAGAACGTCCTTCAAGGCCTTCAAGGACTCTGTCTGTGTCTCCAGCTGCTCAGTGAGCTTCAGGAACGTCTTCAGAGGAGGTTCTGGAGCTCAAACTGTCACTAAGAGGCACTCAGACAGGAGCACTGGAGGTGGAACAGACCTTTAAAACTATAACTATTTAGACTATAAGTGGTGTTTTACATGGAATAAACCCTTAAAACTTTACATATTCGGACTAAAAGTAGGATTTTATGTGGAATAAACCTTTAAAACTACAATTCTTTTGGCCAAATGTAGTATTTGACTTCGACTAAACCTTTAAAACTCCACATATTTTCACTAAAATACTATTTTGAGCAGGAATAAATCTTTAAACCAAGAGGTATTTGGACAAAAACTATTATTTACTTGGAATAAATCTCTAAAAGTAGTACTTTATGTGGAATAAACCCTTAAAATGATCCGTATTTTGAACAAAGACTAGTACTTTAGCTGTAATAAACTCTTAAAACTTTACGTATTTGGACTCTAAGCAGTATTTTAGGTGGCATAAACCTTTCAAACGAGCAGAGCTGCTCTCAGACTGTGTGGGAGAAGCCACCAAACTAAACGGGTCAGAACCAAAACCTCAGATTGCAGCTGTGAGCGGCAGCAGCAGCTCAGTGGTTGTTTATGTGAACAGCTGATGGCTCGGATCCGTCCAGCACATAAAAACAATCAGAACCGAGGCGCTGTTCTGGAGCAGAGTCCAGACCTGAAGTGAAGCTGCCGGTCCGGTTCCATGAAGCAGAACATGTTTCCAGCAGCGAGCTGTTTGTCATAAATAGAAGCGTGAGCAGCGGGTCAGAGGAGGAAGTTCTGTCGGGTCAGAACCGCTGCTAGTTTACAGACGGGACGCTAAACCAGACAGAACCTGGACCGGAACCGGCCTCAGGACAGCTGAAAGTGGAGTTTAGAACCTGGTTCAGCAGCAGCAGGAAGGTTTGGAATGAAAACTACAAAAACATCTGGTTTGACATAATTAACTGTCGTTAAACACGTCGGTAACGACGACGACGTCGCTTTAACGGCAAAAGAAAATATGGACAGTAGTAGTTTGGTAAAAATACATAAAAACATGAAAATAAATAAAAATGAAAAAACACATTTAAAAAGTATTAATAAATAAATAAATAAATAAATAAATAAATAAATAAAATTTAAACATTAAAAAACTTAAAAATAATACAAAATAAATTATTATTATTTTTATTATTTTATTTATTTGTCTTTATATTTCTACTTTTGTGAGCGTTTCCTTTTATGGATTCATCTTTGATTAATGTCGCTTCATATTCACATTATGCTTTATTTTATTTATTCCTCTTTTTATTTCCACTTTTTGTTGTTATTATTTTATTGATTTATTCATTTGGCGCTCTCACCGCTCCATACACGAGATCACTAGAAGAATAAAAAAATAAATAACTAAATAAAAAAAGCAAAGACAGAAGAAATAATTTACATGTTGACTGCAAAAAAAATAAAATAAAATCTACAATTATACAAATAATTTTTTATTATCTTTAATGGTAACAGATTTTTTTGTTTTAGTGTTTAAATCAGCTAAAAATAAATTCATATTTTTAAAGATAAAAATCATTGTTTGAAAGAAAAATTGTGCAAATTAAGAGTTGAATTTGATTTTTTTTTTGTACAGATAAAAGTTGTAAAATCACTAAAAACATTTTTTTTCAAAAACATCAAAACTATGTCCACATTAAAAATCTGTATTTTTTATAAATGATTGTTTGTTCTTTTACAGTGTTTGAGTATAAAATTATACAATTCTGTTGTATTTAAATCGGCTGAAATATCTTTTTTTTTCTCTTTCTTTTTTTTTTTTTTACAGATATTTGTCGTCATTTTAATCATTTTTACTGTTTTTTTCCTACATATTTATTTCTGGACTCCTTTATTCCAGATTCACTGTTTTTTAATGGAACTTTTTTGTTTTTTTTACAGTTTATATATAACATAAATAACCTGGATGTATGTTCTGTCCTGTAACGTCTCTATTTTGACAATAAAAATCATATTTTCGTACTAAATCAGAGCAGATTTACTGGTTTTCTGTCATAAATCACTTTAAACTCAACATCTGAGCAGTTCTGAGGCTTTTGTTCGAACTAAACGAGAATCTGAAGACGTCTGAACTCGTGTTTTTAGTCACTTATTGGACATTTTACAGAACAAACATGGATCTAATTAATCCTTCAAACTACTAACGAATCAGACAATCAGTGAAACTAACAGATCTAAATGAAGAGAAGATGCAGGATCAGGTGATGACAGCAACATCCTGATGTTGGTTTATGATGAAAATGAGGCACGAGATTAGAAGTTCATTTATTTTACTTTAATCAGATTTTCAGTGTGTTTCTCTCAGAAATGTCATTTTCTGCTGATAGTTGTGATAAAATCAGACATTTTGCAGCTTTTTCAGCGACTGTCAGACGGTTTCCTGCCTGATGTCTCGTCTGATTTCTAGAAAATCACATAAACGTTGCCCTAAAATGTAATTTTCGCATTTAAAACACATATTTAACAGC